CCTACATTTCTAAAAGCATAAGGGAAGTTAATGACACTTATCTGGTACCACACTGCCGTAGCTTGCCCCAGTGCTCAAGAATTATTGGCAAAGGTAGCCAGCACTAGCTGCTCAGTTCTGTTTCATGATTAACTTCTTGCAGGGCTTGTAGGGTTCTTAAAAAAAATTAAGATACTGAAATGGCTGGCTTATACAGCAGCAACACTCTCAGCTCCTCCATTGCCTTGATAATCTACCTCAAACCACCCTAATCACTCTGGTAATTTCCCTCCAGCTACAAGATCTCCATGAAAGTGCTGTACAGAGAGAGAGGTGGGAACCCACTGGCACTGTGCCTCATGCTGGCCTTTCCCTCTTCTAAGCCACCCAAAGTTTTAGCACAAATAGACAGGTTCTCACTTACTAAGAGTAATAGTGGCAAGCATAAGCTTAGAAAGACCAACACCACCCCTGCTTTCTGCAGCACTAAGAAATCTCATGGTGGCCATTCTGGGCACAGATTCAGCTGACAAAGCTTGCTGGGTACATAGGCAGCCTCTACTCACACATGACAACAGTGTCTCCTTGGGGTTCCTTTTCCTTATATAAGCAATTTTATTTGTCCCAAAATTCTTCATTTGTGTAATTATAATACAATCATTTAACAAGAACTAACCATTTTTAGCACTTTTATTCTATTTTTTAATTGATTAGTTCATTTAAAAGTTGAATCTAGTGTTTCTACAATGGATCTTAGTTTTCGGAAGTACTGAACTGATTGATTTGTTTGATCAGTAGGATACATACTGTAATGAAAAACACACACAGTAATTTTAATAATCCCAAATCAAACTGTTACCGAACCTTAATATTGTAGATACTAGTGTTTAAAGTTTGGAATGGTCACATAATAATAAGTTAAACAGGGATAACTTCTCAAAGATCTACACATTACACTGAAAAGTATCTATTATGAGAAACAAACTGATTTAAGTCAGGTGTCAGACTACTTGTCAGCCTGAGGCCATTTTGAATATCTCCCATTGTCTATTAAGGATAGATACTTCCCCCTGAGAATCTACTTACCTCACCTGGATTTTACAGCATGGGTTTATTCTAGTAGCAGCACTTAACTCTTCTGAACATTCTTTTGAATACTTTGATTAATGTAGTCTTTTCAAGTATCTTGTAAAATGGCCACAGTGACATCTGGTCTGACCTGTATAAAGTGTCTCACTAGGAAAATTAAATTCTTTGCCCACATTGCCCAACAGGAGGATGCTCATGTTCCTTGCAGGAGCAGCCAACTCAATATGGGAGGAAGATGCATGCAATGTGAAACAGTGCTGCCTTGAAAAAAAAGACTTTCATCTTCTCTTTAAATGGAGGATTTGAATATTTTTTTCCTGCATTCAGTGTTCTCTCAAACCAATAACTTTCTTGGCCCCTGATGGCTATTTGTAGTATTCTGCTGGAGGTTTTAATACAAGCAGTTCCTATGTACCATTCTCTCAATTCTACTCTTTGAATTTCACTTTCATGTCAAATTTCATAGGTGATTTACTTTCTCTTTGACTACTACCTCCTGAGAAATAATTCCATGAATGAAAATAAAGGGTAAATATCAGTCTTAGGTGTGGATCCAGTGGGAACCCACATGAAATGCTGTGCAAGTCCACACCATGCGATGCTCACAACAATCTTAGAAAGCACTTTCATTAATGACGTACAAAAGGGAGAGAACAGTCCAAAGATGGGAGGAACTGCAAGCCACAATGAAAATGCAAAGACACAGAGCTCCCTTGAGCAGTTAGAAACTTATGCAAGGAAAAGAACAAAAAACTATGACATGAAATTATAAATATTATGAAGAAGGGAATACAGATTCATTGTCACCTGTCTCCTCCAAGGGACATTAAGTGATGTTAACAGATTCAAAGCAAGATTTACTTAATACATGCAGTTCTGCTGTAGAACTTCTTACTTCAGGACATTACGATATTTACAGAAGTTCAGAATCCCAGGAAGCTGTCAAAGTACTCAATAAGTATCACTTGAGAGCTGCTTTCATGCTCATCTCCAGCATCTACTTCTCACAATTGTTGGAGCTGGTGGGGACATTATTATGCTTGTTAGTTAAAGTTAATAAAATACCATATGAAACCCAGAACACTAACGGGAAAATCCTGAGGATAAAAAATAAAAATCTGTCTAAAAAAAGCTTGAAGAGAGTGAATTAGATAAATAGAAATAAATAGATATGGATGCAAGTAGACCAGTGCTATCTGAGGCTGTTTCTGCAAAGGCTCAGAAGTCCAGCTGAGCTCGTGTGAACACACGCAGTGTGCAGCTGTAGGCATGTGGTCCCTTATCTCCAGGAAGATTGACAGGCAAGATGGGCTTCGTAGAAGAACAACCACATGATTAAGAGACTAGTGTGTGATTTATGAAAAATGATTTAAGAAAAGATCTTCACAGCTTGCTTAAGTGATGATGAAAACCAAAAGTGACAGCCAGGAGAAGGAATAGCTTAGATTTATTTAGAGAGTGTGAACATCATAACAAGGGGGAAAGAATTAGACTGATAAAAAAGGGGCTAAAGTTGAAAAGGAACATGAGCTGAAATATCAACTAGCATGACCAAGGTTGGGAATCATCTTGTCATGGCTTGTGACAGACAGAAAAGCTTCATAGAATATGTGGTAAGGGGCAGTCAAGTGCTGACCCATTGGAAAGATCAGTGGTGCTTGGGACTCCTATGTGGCCCTGATGCTCACCCTGGCAGGGTGCTTGCGCTCTCACACAACACATGCCACAGAAATTCCCGTTTCTCATGATTTTCCCTTTCATGGTGAGCAAAAGTGTTACTCACAAGCACTCCTTCCTGGAATACATGTGCCTTTAGCAGTACCTGATGTTCAGAACAGCCACAGAACAGGGTGCTTCTGCTGTTCAAGTCTAACCTGATCTCTAGGGCAAAGAGGTCACAGTAAGGAGCACTCCTATGTTTAAAAACTCTGTAGTACAAGAAGTAGGCAGTGGGCAGTTGTTCACTAGCCAGCTGCAGAAAGACATGCTGCCTAGCTAAGATGTATTAGCCACTATTTCACTTCCCAACCAGATGAAACTCTGAGTCAGAGCACTGGAAGGATGCTCTTGATGCTGAAGCAGTATAGATGCAGTGTCCAGCTCCACACTGCCTGCCATAACATTTCCCTCTGCCTCACCTCAGCTCTGGTCAGAGAAGTGGTGCCTCTGCAGTTCAATATATTCTGTGCCACTAGATGAACCTCTTCCTTGAAAAAGCACTTTATGTGAAGTCAAAGGATCTTTTTCCTAGCCCAGCATCAGATAGTGTGTGCAAGCAACACTAAACTCTCAACAGGTCTTTCCCCTCATGACTTTATATTCTATAGGGTCACATATAGAGAAGTGAACCTCCATCCAGCTCACTCTGTCTAGAGGCAGAGCATCAGGGTCTGTTGCTCAGAGCAAAATCCTAATGCATCAGATGCATTCAGATGATGGGCCATTACCTCTGAAGACTGGTGGAAATCCTGTCAGCATGCAGGTTATCTACAAGCTGTTATGTCAACAGGAGTTCTGTCAGCCCAACGGGATAAGAAGCACAACTTGCTTTTATAAAAATGTCACTCTAGATTGAGCACAAGAATGAGGGTGATGGGGGTGTGGATCAGGACTGAGGGGAAAAGGGCCGCACTTTTGTTTGGGAGGATCTCCCTGTCCCTGCACAGGGTCATGCCTCAGCACCTCACAGCATCAATGTTACCTTGCTAAGTGCCCTCTGAGCTACCCTCCAAATCCATGGAGCAGCCTGCTGGGCTGTCTTTTTAGCAAAGAGCACAGGCTGAAGAAACAGATCAGCAGGTGCTGGGCATGCATGAGGGACTGAGCAGAAGGAGGAACCAGGAAAACCAGACCCTCCCAACACCACGTGGCACTCAGGCCAATGCCTCTTGTCAAAACTGCTATTCACCAGCCACAAAGGCAGCCACTGCCACTGTGCAGGGAATCGGGCCAGTTTAACCCCCAGGCAGCCAAAAAACATCAGCTGCACCAGCAAAAGTGGGTTCAAGGCTTGGTCATTACAGTCCTGTGCCTTGTGCAACAAGCTGGCAGGAGCGGGACATGGGGAGGAGGGAGGAAGCAGAAGCTGCTGGAGTCCATCCTTATGAACATCATGTTTGGTCTGTGCAAGCACACTGTGCATCCCATGCTGTACACAGCAGTTTTAAGTCTTCTCTGGCTTTTTGGGCTGTAAGGATTACTTGTACACTGTCTGCCATGCTCGCCAAAGGCTGGCACAGCCCTGCAGCTCAGGCTGCTCCTCACCACTGGAGATCCACCACAGAGCAGCAATACTCCACACAGCCTCGTTCTGCCTCGGCATGGCGGCATGGCAGGACTGGCATGCAATTAAACATCAAACATTAAAAGACATTAATAAGAGATTGTCCCCAGAAACTTCCAGGGAAACTTCACTTGAGGAGGCAAATGCCATAAAAGTGCAGAGATGGTGGAAACACCTCACTGGGTCTCACCCATCATTCCCACATCGTGGTCCTATCCACAGTGGAACTAGCTGCCTACAACATCCCTGTGCATCCTCCCGTGCCAAAGGAGCAGAGGTGAGCTCTTTCCATCGCACACAGACCCAGTCTCCAGGAGGCTCTCTTCTTGCCTATACCACCAAGACCTCAAAACGCTGCAGTCTTACCTTGTATATCAGTGCCCCTTCAATGATTTGAGATTCCCTCTGTTATGCACACCCTGAATCACTGGGCTCAACACAACACATACAGCACACATTTACAAACACCAAACACAAATCTACCAGAAACCGCTGATCTGGTTGTCTACTCAACAAGAGCAGTGGACGGTCTGGGGAGGTTTATTCCGTGCAATACCTATACCTTCTTAGACTACCACCTTTTCTTCAGGCAGGAATGAAAAATGCGACTAAGAGGGACAGGATAAGGGGTTCCAAAATATATGATTACCTGTATCCTGTCTTCTGGCAACTCTGTTTTCATGGCCAACATCTCTCTAGCATATACATCAGGATAGTGGGCCTCATTGAAGGCCTTTTCCAGCTCCTCCAGTTGGTAGGATGTGAAGATTGTCCTGAGGGGAGTAAAACTCTTTAATCAAAAAACATAAGAAAAAGAAGCAAAGATGATGAGGAGTCAGAGAAATGGACAGAGAAGCTATAGAAACCTGGGTAACCTACTAACACATAGCTTTTCCCTCATTTCCTGTGTTTCTGTGCACAAAAGGTCCGGTGCCAGGGTGAAAGGAGAACCAGAAAATGGCAGAAGACATCCTTTAAACAGTTACAAATCACTTTCCCTTTAGGGACTTCCCTCTGGAGACAGTCCCTCACCAGCAGCAAGCACCTGCAATCAGCAGTGCTGGTAGCTGCTCTTACATCTCAGACCCTGCTGCTCCTCCTGAGGATACAGATGTCCCAGTCCCTATCCCTCACCCCTCTTCTAACAGGAAAGTGCACCCACCCCTGGCCTGGCTTAAAACCACCTTCCTCCTCCTCTTGCACCCAGAGGTTTCTTAACCCTTTGTTAGTCACACTTAGATAAAGCACCATCCCCTCAGTACCCCGACTGGAGAGGTGCTGAGTCCTTCTCCAGTTGCTGGTCTTTAGACTTTTGAATCTCCACGAGCAAATAATCCTCCCCTGCAGCCCAGTCCTTGGCTGAATCCTCCAGAGGTTTCCACTCTGCTCCTCACTGCTTTTCACCAGTCCTTCCTCATGAGAGCCAGTGCAAGCTCCCTTCCTCTACCTTTACCCTGGTTGCTTCTGCTCCGATATCCCATTAACTTCTCCCTGCCAGTTTGCATTACCCCATTATCCTCTGGAAATCCTCCTGGACCGCCCTGGGCGGGCAGCAGCCCAGCCCGCCTCTGCGTAGCCTGTTCTCAGCTCGGGACAACCAGATTGAAAAATCAGGAGCTGGAAAGCTGAGACGGATGAGAGCCCTTCTCCAGGGGCTGGATGAGAGGTCTCGGACCACTTCCACTCCCCCGAGGGTTAAAACTCCCACCCTCCAACTCCCTCGCCCCCTGTTTGTCCCTGGCACACAAAACGAGATTTTTGATTAAAACTAACAACACTCTGATGGCAAAACAAAATCAAAACCAAAATAAACAACACCCTCCAAACCCGAAATAAAAAACCAACCAACCCAACCCAACAAAACAAAAGGGAAAAAATAAAGCAAAACAAAGGAAAAAAAAATACCTCAAAACCCCACAAAACCCCCAAACAAACCAACGAACCCACAAAAATAACAACGAATTGCAGCCTTTGTTTGAAGCAAACGTATAATTATCAGACTAAGAAACATGTAGCTCTCAGAGGTGGGAAGGAAAGAAAATAATGTCTTTTTCTAAAATACATCCGGATTTCAGAAAAGCACTATAATTCCAGAGAGCATAAATAGAAAATTTCAGAAATATTCTCTGCTATTCAAAATCGAAAGGATTTCACCAGATCGATAACATTACTAACAAAAGCAGCATGCAAATGCAAGGGACCTGCCTGCAATCAGACCCTTCTTTAAATTCACTCCTAAATCCATTCTCTTTTCAAACAGTTTTGCTTCGGCTTCGGCAAATCTGTGAACTCTAGGGACAGTAGAGGCACGTTAACTTGTGTATTTTCTCTCTCTGGGACCACAAGAAGAATTATTCCAGTTTTCATCCCGTTTAGATTTCAAGCATTCCCTTCCACCCTCCTCCGACAAGAGCGCCGGAGCCCAGCCAGGCTCAGCGGCGGGAGGGGTTTGCCTGACATTCAGCTGAAGTTTTTCCCTTTTAGGTGTCATCTTTGGGTAGCCTCGGTCCCTTTCGCAATACACAATCCGCTATTCCTTTTGGTGTTTCTCTCCCGCAGCTATTTGCAGACTATTGCCCCGCTATCTCCCAGCCCTTTCTTGGTATAACTAGAGGACTTGAACATTTAGTACAGAATATACAACTACAGCTGAATGTTGCGCGTCTGTTTCTGTCTAGAACTGAAAAGAAAACAAATCCCGACGGTCGGGGAATGTCGTTTCCAGACTGTCACCTGCACACCAGCCCCTGGCGTGTTTTCACTCAGACCCGTTCGGTCCATAAGGAAAACGAACCCGTGTTTACTCCAGAGCACCAAAACTGGGAGCATCTGCCTTGGGGAGGGACCCCGAGTTTGGGATGAGCCCTCCAGCCCAAGCCTCCTGTTGCACGCGTAGCAGGACGTCTCCTGGGATAGTCGGTCTCCTTCCAACCCGCACCCTGCTAAGCTTTCGCTGGGGCATCTTTTAATCCATCCTTCCTGCATCGTGGCAGGATTGATTTAATTATTCCCAAATCACCCTGGGTGGATGGTGTCTGGCCTTCCTTTGTCCTGACTCTCGGGCCACAGCAATGCCCGAACCCAGCACAGTATTTTTCGTTTCTGCTGATAAGGCGCAGAAAATCCAACTCCATTTTAACCGTGGGAGAAATCAGGCAGTCTGTCACCCTGACCATTCCCGAGGGGATACCAGATCCCCCTTCGGATCTCCCAAAGTGTATCTTCGTTTCCTTAACCGATTCTCCAGCCTTTCTCCAGCTTCTCTGTAGGCTGTGACTGATTCCCAACTATTTAATCTATTAGAAACGCATTTATTTATAAATAATAAAATCTTTAAATCACCGATAGAAATTCTCTCTTGCTGTCAGCTGGTATTAAGATTGCTATACGCGAAGCAGGGGAAAGATTTGATTATTTCGGACAGGTTGATGATTTTTTTCCCTGCGAACACCCATGATCCATATCCCGTTCAGATGCTCACGGGCCGCTCGGGTTTGCGGCGCGGGATACCTGGATCCCCAGCCAGAAAAA